ACCCCCACGCTGCCGCCATCAAGACCTATTCCCCCTTCCTCAACACCGTCTTCGGCAAGGTGGGGACACTGGGAGGGGACATGGGCATCAGGGAGGGCACGGAGGGACCCTAGAGATGGAGGGGAAGTGGGGACGGGGAGGTGGGGACAGGGATAGTCCAGGAGTCTGCAGATGGAGGGGATGTGGAGCATTTTTTGAGACATGGGGACATGGGGACAGTGGGGCTGTTCCAGGTCCCTGGCTATGGAAGGGACATGGGGACAGTGAGGGTGGGGACAGGGACGGTCCAGCAGCCTGCAGATGAAGAGGGCAATGAGGCAGTCAGGGTGGGCCTGGGGACAGTGGGATGGGGATGTTCCAGAACCCTGGGGATGGAGGGGACATGGGGCCGGTGGAGATGGGGTTGGGACACTCCGGGACCCTGGGGATGGAGGGGATGTTGGGATGGGGGACATGGTCAGGCCATTGTGGGTCGCTGGGGATGAAAAGGACGTGGGGACAGTGGGGACAGAGTTGGGGACACTCTGGGACCCTCGGGATGAGGACATGGGGATAGCGAGAATGGGCTCAGGGACTGGCTGGAAACCTGGGGATGAAGGGGATATGGGGCACTGGGAACAGTCAGGGACAGCCTGGAATTGTGGGGATAGATGGGACATGGTGCTGGGAATGGTGTTGGGGACACTTCAGGGCCCTGGGGACTGAGGGGACATACTGAGGGGACACCTAGAGCAGGGGCAGCCAAGCTCTGTGGGGGTAAAAATGCTGCCCCTCCACGTTTGGAGTACAACCGCCCTCTGGCCACCCAGCACTTCCCATCCAGAGCCTGGGGTCCCGGGGTGGGTGACAGGAGCAGGGACATGGGGACCAGGACAGGGCGGGTGGGAGGTGCAGGCACGGGGCAGGGCGGGGCTTTGCCTCCAATCCCACTAATCCTCCGCTGGAGTTAATTTTGGCCCACGCTTAACAAAGGTGACACGGAGGTTTGGGGGGGCAAGGAGGGGGATGGACACGGAGCTGGGTGTCATTCTGCTGCCACCCCTTCTGTGTGTCCCATGCAGGAGCGGGAGCTGTCACCGGAGGAGCTGGATGGTGAGCAGGGGGGACGGGGTGGGGACACTGGCCTAGGGGAATGGTGGGGAGGGATGGATCTGTCATGGAGGGATCTGCCCTGGGGACATGGCCATGGAGGGGTCTCCCACATCCGAGAAGGGACCTGTCCCGGGGTGACACGGTGTCTGTGTGACCCTCCACTCCTGATGCTGTCCCTGTCCCCACCTGTGGCCGTGCCCAGAGCTGCTGGATGCCTTCAAGGAGTTTGACACGGACCAGGATGGCTACATCAGCTACAAGGATCTGGGCGCCTGCATGCGCACGCTGGGCTACATGCCCACCGAGATGGAGCTCATCGAGATCTCCCAGCACATCAAGATGAGGAGTGAGTGGGCTCGGGGGGACAGGGAGGGGACCGGAGGTTGCTGGGGTGCTGAGGGTGTCTGTCCCCTTCCTGCCACAGTGGGTGGCCGTGTGGACTTCGAGGACTTTGTGCAGATGATGGGCCCGAAGCTGCGGGAGGAGACGGCGCACATGGTGGGCGTGAGGGAGCTCAAGATCGCCTTCCGCGAGGTAGGGACACCACCACGGGGACAGCGGGCGTGGTGTCACCTCCTCAGGGGCACCACAGCCGTGAGGGGACAGTGACCCTGGAGAGACCCTGGTGGGGACAGTGATGATGGGGGCATGGTGGGGATGGTGATCACGGGAAGAGCAAGGTGAGATGGTGACCATGGGGTGCCCATGGAGGGGACACTGACCATGGGAAGACCATGCTGGTGACCACAGGCAGGAGAGGACAATTACCATGGGGAAATGATGACCATGGGGTGACCACAGCCATGAGGGGACAGTGACCCTGGAGACCCTGGTGGGGACAGTGATGATAGGGCATGGAGGGGATGGTGATCGTGGGAAGACCATGGTGAGATGGTGACCACAGGGGGGACCATGGGGTGACCACAGGCATGGAGGGGACAGTGACCAGGGGGAAAACAATGACCATGCTAGTGACCACAGGCAGGAGAGGACAATGACTGTAGGGAAACAATGGCCATGGGGTGACCGCAGGCATGGAGGGGACAGTGACCAGCAGGTAATGATGACCATGATGGTGACCACAGGCATGGAGGGGACAGTGACCAGGGGGGAAACAATGACCATGGGGTGACCACAGGCATGGAGGGGACAATGACCACGGGGGAAACAATGACCATGGGGTGACCACAGGCATGGGGGAACAGTGACCAGGAGGGAATGATGACCATGGGGTGACCATGAGCACAGAGGAGACAGTGACCATAGGGAGCTCAGAGGTGCTGGTGGCCATGGAGGGTGACCCCAGCCCGCGGGTGCGGCAGTTCGACATGAACGGGGACGGGGAGATCAGCACGNTCCCCACCAGCCCGGACACGCGGGCAAACTGGCTGGGGGACATTCGGCCGGCCTGCGGGGGCACAGAGGACACCTGGAGTCAGCCAGGCGGGAAAAGGATCTGGGATGGTGGGCAAGAGGCATGGAGTGCCAGGTCCCAGTGCCATGCAGAGAGAAAGGTGGGATAAAGCACAGGAAGGAGCTTTACCTGGGCTCCTCCAAGCAGCTGGGCTCTCTGCAGGTGTGTGAGGACGGGAGAGACGCTGTGGGGGAACGGGTGGCCCAGGAGGGAGGAATTCTGGGGAAAGAGTTGGGAAAAGGGACCCCAGTCACAGACCACGACTGGCAGATGGGACAAACCCCAGGATGGCCAAGCTCCATGGGGGGAGAGACGAGCCACAGGAACACAGGGAGGTTTTGGGAGGGCTGGTCATCAATCCCCAAAAAGATGGAGGAGGGAAAGCTGGATACCGGAACATTGCAGAGCTGGTTGGGGGACATCCTCTCTCCATAGGGAGCGGGATAACGCTGCTGCATGGTAGCTCGGATATGGACAGGCTTGGGACACAGGATCTGGGGGGAGACAAGGGGCAAAGTCACTCCCCCTGGGAAGCAGCTTGCACCCTTGGGAGCAGTGGGAAACTGGGAAGCGAAGAGATACCTGCTGGTTGAAGTTGGGGATGGCAGCCTGTTTGGGGGGGGTCCCGATGGGAATGGCCCGGACAGGGGGGCTCCCGATGATGGGGGAGGAGGAGCGCCGGGGCAGCGCCCGCTCCGAGGGATCCCGCTCCTCATCCCGAGCCTGCGGAGGCCGCTGGGGCAGGGCATAATCCAGCACGGACACCGAGGGCATCTCCTGCAGGAGAACGGGAGGGACACCCCCCTGGAGCCACAGGCTGGGACAGATGAGGGTCAGTGTTCCCCCCTTCCCCCTGCCAGCTCTCCACCCCCACTGTGCTTCCCTGGGATCTCCACACAAGGCTGGGCATTCCTGGAGTGCCCAGATTGCCGAGTGCGTCCCGTTTGGGATAACAGGGCGTGGGGAGGGAATGCTGGGTCACCTCCCAGCCCGGCAGAGCCAGCAGAGGGTTGGACACGCAGCACTTCAAAGCATGACTCTTAATGAAACCACAACAACACAAAAATCCTCTGCCTCCAGGCATCAACATTCCCAAATCCTGCTGGGAGCCCTGAAATCCCTCAGACATCACCAGGCATCCCAGAACAGCCGAACTCCATCATCCCAGCCCTCCAGGGTCCGAGGGGTGACAGCTCTGAGGGTCCCCCCACAAGCCACAGACACAGAGGAAGGAAGCAGGACACTCCACTATCCCAGGACCAGTCTATCCCACCCAGCTGGCTGCCACAGGCGTTTGGGATCAGCACCCCAGCACCCTACCTGAGCGAGGAGTGGCCCCCGGATGTGCCGCAGCATGGCCGAGCTGTCCCAGATGCTGGAATTGAGCCCTCCAGGCTGCTGCAGGGCACAGGGAGAGTCAGGACAGCGCTGTGGGATCCATCCCCACATCCCCCTGGATCCCCCAGCCCGCTCCCACCTGCGGGGGATCCCTGGTGTGCACGGCCTGCATGATGGCCGGGTCCTCCAGTTCGCTGTCGATGACGAGGCGCGTCAGCCGCTCA